CTGTGCTCAAGTCAGTTTGGAGGATGCTGATTAGACAAGCTTTCTTGCCACGAGACCTCTAGAGTCTTTCAAAGGATAGACGGTTGAAATTACAATAAACGATGTGGCCAGTGAATCTCCAAGAAGGGGTACAGTATGCAGTGCTTTCTAAATGTTTGCCAGTGTCCCCTTGGGGAGCCTGGTGGCCTGTGGCCAGTGCCCCGAGAAAAACTGTCACCATGGGCCACAGTTCTGTTGTTTTCCTGAGGGTCACAGGGAACGGGCTGGGGGTGCCGTCTGATAGATGGGGAGGGCCCAAGAGATGTGTACATGCTTCCTCTCCCTGAGGAAGCCCCTGCTCCCTCCCCATGGCCCTACCCTGCCATTTGTGCCCCCCCACAACACCTCTCCCCACTTCAGGTCCAATCCCCAAGATGCTGACCATGGCACTGACATTGATAGGGCTCTGCACTGGAATGCCCTTCTGTTCTCCACGCATGAGTGCTGGCGAGTCGACATTGTTAGGGGTTGAATCGTGCCCCCCCAAGTTCATAGATGAAGTGCTAACCCCTAGCACCTCAGCATGTGACCTTATATTCAGTGAGAGGGTCTTTACAGAAGTCACCAAGTAAAAGTGAGGTCAGGCGCTGGGCCCTAATCCGCTAGGACCAGTGTCCTTACGAAAAGGGAAAATTTGGATGGAGACAGATGTGCACAGAGAGAAGGCGGCGTTCCACAAGCCAGCGTGAGAGGCCTGGAACACACCCTCCCCTCACGGCCCTGGGAAGGAACCAACACTGCCCACACCTTGGTTTTGGAGTTGTGGCCTTCAAAACCATGACATAATACATTCCCTGCGAGGTAAGCCTCCCGGCCCGTGGGGCTTTGTTACGTAATCCAGGGATCAGAGGCCCCGTCGTGCTCCTAGAGGGGCCAGGCAGCCATCAGACCCAGGAGGAGCCATGGCTGTGCCCGGGGCCCGCATCTAGGCCGTCCCCCCTGTGACCTGTGAGGCCTCCGTGCCTGGCGGAGGATGAATGAGGGAATGCACAGGTGGTTTTGTGGGTTCCTTTGTGGGGACGGGGTGGGTGGGTCACCGAGAGCGAGCGGGTTCTCGCGGGCCAGGCGTGGACCCTGATATCTTGAGGACGCGGGTTCCGGCTACTGGGACTTGGGTGCTGGCATCCAGTTGGGAACAGAAGTGAGCCCGGATGATGGCCTTGGCTCTCACCCCAGGCTCCCGTGCTGACTGGTCCGTGCTCCCGGGGACCTCTGGCCCCAACGGTGACGCCGGCGAGCACACGGCCCTCGGAGCTCTGGAGGTGGGGGGGAGGGTAAGAAGGACTATGCTGTGTGGCTCCCATTTTATATGTGTGTGGGACAGATGGGGACAAGAAGATTGTGGGCACGGCAGGCACCCCCAGGCCCCTGGGTCAGGATGGTCCCCGCACCCGGAGAGGGAGGGTGGAGACAGAAGTCTCCTCCGTCCGGCCCTCTGGCTGAGGCCCGGGGCGCAGCATCCTGCCGGCCGCCTCCCGCATCAGTGGGTTTGGTGTGGGGGAAGCAGAGTCCTCAGAGGGGCCCTGACATCGGGGAGGAGCCTGCGGTGTGAGGACAGCCTGAACCAGGGGCTGGGAGATGGGACAGGGTAGTGGCCTGGTCCGAGCGTGAGAAAGCGTGCCAGGCCCTTGCCCAGAGCCAGGAAAGAGCAGTGCACGGCAGGCCTGGCTGGCTGGACAGGCCGCTGGGGAGGTGGGGACGGGGAGGGGCCTTGCCCCGGCCCCAGGTTGTGTTGAAAGCAGGCCCTTTGCTCCCCGGCTGCTTCCCAAGCAGAGGAGTCAGGTGTGACGAGAGCCAGGCCGTTTGGGGCCAGCACATTTGTGTTACAAAAAGCCACTCGTTTTTCCTCCTGTGCAGGGAAAACCCAGTTCTCCCCTCTCCTGTGTGTCTCCCTTGCTACTCACCCAGAACGTTTCACTTCTGGTCACCAGATCTGGGGGGATTTTCCCCCACACCCAGCAATTCTTTGGAACACCACCCGGGGGTCCTCTGATTTAACTCAATTCTGACCCTGTCTACTTGGAGATCGCATCAGACCCCCCAGGTTGAGGGCTCGGTCCCACGAGACTGTCCCCCACTTCAAATGCGGACTGCAAATCGTCGGTCCCCAGGCGACCCATAATTCTGTCTGACTTGGATGCAGATCGGGGTTCTGTGACCTCTTCGCCATTGATTTGCCAGAACGGCTCACGGGACTCAGGGAAACATTTATACCGTTGACTGAAGGAGCGGATGAAGAGCCAGACGGAGAAGTACGTAGGGCAAGGTCTGGGATGGTCCCAAGTACAGGAGCGTCTGTCGCCGTGGGGCTGGGGTGCGTCCTCCTCCCAGCGTGGATGTGTTCACCAGCCAGGAAGCTCTCCAGATCCCGCACTTTTGGGATTCTTAGAGGGGCTTCATCACGTAGGTTTGATGGACCACTAGCTCCATTTTCAGCCCTTCTTCCTCCTCAAGAGAATGGGGGTGGGGCTGAAAGTTCCAAGCTTCTGAGCATGGCTTGGTCTATCCCACGACCAGGAGCCATCCAGGAGCCATCCGGAGTCACCTCATTAGAACAAAGGACACTCCTGTCACCCAGGAAACTAGAAGAGTCCAGAAACACAAGGGCACCTTTGGCACTGTGAGCATCACTCTCTCTGCCTCTCATGGGTGCAGGTGGAGGGACCCGCCCTTAACATCTGTGTCCTCCCAGGGCTGAGATGGGGCGCAGAGAAGGTATGTCCTGTCTGATGGCATTTTGAGGTCCTCTCTCAGCAGCTCTAGCCGAGGCTCCTGGGGTCCCACCCTGTGCCCAGATGGCCCCCTTGACCCAGTGTCCCGGGTGTCAGGTTGTTTCACAAGCCAGCAGCTGGGAGCCTGCCCCGGGGATGATCAGGTGATGATGCTGGGTGAAGTCCACGGGGTCCTGGAAAGCTGGCCGTCCTGTCGGGGTAAGGATATGGGGAAATGGGCTTGTTTGGGGAGCTTGGCTCTGCCACCACCATGTGCCACTAGGCTGAAGGACTAGTTAACCAGAAAACCACAGGCTGCTTCCCCATTCAGCCCATGGCGCGGCCTGCAGCAAAGCTATGCTCAGTTCGTAGCCAGCTGCCGGTTCTGCAGGCTCATCCTCGCTTCCTCCTGGTAAAATGCGGGATGTGAGAGTGTCTGCCTGCCAGATTGCTTCCAGTTGTTCGGCTTCCAGGTCGAGCATGCTTGGACAGCAGCGTGCTCTCAAACAAGCATTGCAGAGAAGTGCACGTGGAACATTGACCCCGGCCCCGTTCTGCGGCCGAGGCCAAGGACCCGACTGCCGGCTCCCAGCTCTGCCTTATAGTGAGGAGTGCAAGGGGGGAACAGGATGAGGCCTGGAGGGGCCCCGGCCACCACTGGCTGCCGTCTGTCCCGCTCCAAGAGCAGCCGCGGGGCGGGCGTGCAGTCGGCTGGGCTGAGGGACAAGCTGCTTGAGCCTGGCGTCTGCTGCCGAGGCCCTGGCCTCCGAGGTCAGCCCAGCAAGCAGGGTCCCAGAGGGCCATGTGCGGAGCACCGTTAGCCAGCCGCAGGCCTGGTGAGTGGGGCTGTGCATAGGCCCCCCAGGCCTCTCGAGGCCCTGCCTCTCCCAGGAGCCCACAGTATTTCCCCTCGTTTATTGCCGTGTAGCCACATTTCCAGAAAACTAGCTGCGGGAGGCGACACACACTTGTCTCCGGTTTCTGCGGGGCAGGGGGGTGGCCGCAGTGTAGCTGGACCCCCTGCAGTCTGGGGAAAGATCCACTTCTGAGCCCACCTAGCCCCTGCACTGTAGGCCCGAGGGTCTCTGTCAGCCAGGGCGCCCTACGTCCTTGCCATGAAGATCCCCCCACAGGTCGCTTGCTCCAGCAAAGCCAGCAATGGGGAGAGGGACGCCCAGCAGGGCAGCCGATACACTGTACGTGATGTAACCACACGAGAGCATGGCCACGTTTGCGGTATTTCATGCGGACAAGCCGGGCTCAGGCCCCGTGCCTACCCCAGTGTCGAAACACCAGGAGGCAGGGTCATTGGGGGCCACCTTCCCGTCCCTGCCTGCCACATCCTTCCTGCCTTTCCTCACCTCCAAGGTGCAGAGCAGGTCGAGGGGCCAGTTTGGGGGGCTCCCCTAGTGCCCTCTGCTTGAGCTGTCCCTCTGTGAGTCTATCCCCCCTGAACTGTGAGCCGCATGGAGGTAGAGGCTGCCCCATCTCTGTGTCCCGGAGCCTGGCACTGCTTGAAACATAGAGGGACTCGGCAGGTATCTGGTGAGTGAGCAAAAGCACTAACATGTGAGTTGCCGCACCAAGGGCAGGTTAATAAATTAAGGGAGGTTGCTCTGGAGCGGAACGGTTCAAGTTCAATGGCGGTGTGAACTTGGGAAGTTGCCGGTAGCTCCCTAAGCCTCCGCTTTCCCAGCTGTGCAGTGAGGAGGGGGATAGCACCTCCCGCGAAGGCCTCCGCGAGGGGTTCGAGAACACACGCTGGAGCCCTGAGCTGGCGGCTGATGGCTTTCGACATTGGCAGTCACTGGTTGGCCGGGCTGGCGGCTGGGTCTCGAGCGTTGGCCTGTGCTCGTTCACTGCTCCCCTTTCCACGGGGCGCGGGCCTGCGTCAAACGGCCTCAGCGGCAAACGGGACGCAGAGCTCGTGGCCAATGAGCGAGCATGAGCCACCCGATTACAGACTCTACAGTTTGCTGTCTTTGATTTAGCAGGATTATAAACAGTTTGAACAGGTAATCTCTCTGGAAGAGCCCCACGGAGACCACCGGGGTGGGGGTTACCCGGCGGCCTCTAGCTCTCTCCTCTCTCGGAGGGAACTCTGACTCCAGAGAATTCAAACCTCCGCCTAGTTGACTTGCTTCCCTGCCAGGCCATGTGGCCGGTCACCTCCTGCCTTCCACCCTCGCCTGACACAGGCAGCACGGGGTGAAAGATTGCTTCCAGTTGGTCGGCTTCCAGGTCGAGCATGCTTGGACAGCAGCGTGCTCTCAAACAAGCATTGCAGAGAAGTGCACGTGGAACATTGACCCCGGCCCCGGAAGCCAGGGCAGTTCGGCCAAAGCGATGAAGGAGGTGCTGGCCCCATTATGCCCACCGTGGATGATATTCTGGAGCAGGTCGGCGAGTTTGGCCGGTTCCAGAAGCAAGCCTTCCTGAGCCTATGCCTGCTCTCAGCTGCCTTCGCCCCCATCTACGTGGGCATCGTCTTCCTGGCCTTCACCCCAGACCACCGCTGCCTGAGCCCCGGGGTGGCCGAGCTGAGCCGGCGATGCGGCTGGAGCCTGGCGGAGGAGCTGAACTACACGGTGCCCGGCCCGGGGGCCATGGGCGAGGCCTTCCCCGGCCAGTGCCGCGGCTACGAGGTCGACTGGAACCAGAGCGCCCTCAGCTGCGTGGACCCTCTGGCCGGCCTGGCCACCAACAGGAGCCACCTGCCGCTGGGGCCCTGTCACCATGGCTGGGTGTACGACACGCACGGCTCGTCCATTGTGACCGAGGTAAGGGCAGGCCCCGGGTTTGGGGGAACAGGTGGGTTTCAGGGGCAGGGAGGAGACACACAACAAATCCTAGGAGGTTCGGTTTCACATCAGGAGAGAGGGAGGAGAGTTCTGTCGGCTGAGCACTTAGGATGTGCCTGGCTCCATCCTGGGCACTCTGCCTGCTTCTGCCGTCTGGTCCCCCACAGATGTTGGGGGTTCGAGGAGCAGGCTAGAGGGCGGGGAGACCTTTGCCAGCCAGGCTGAGCTGCATTGTTGGAACACGGGCCTACGGGGAGATGGGTTCCTCTTCTTTCTGCCCCATGGCTTCTCCAAGAGCCTGTAGAATTCCCTTGGGGTGCCGTTAGAATGGTGGGTCCCCCTTCCTCCACTCATGTGATAGCTGTGTGCCGGCTGGGGTGGTTTGGAAGCCACCCTGGCTTTGGAGTCAGGCTGTGTCAGTCCCAGCCGTGCCCCGGATCAGCTGGGCATCGCTGAGGATGTTACTCAGCATCTCTGAGCCTCCGCTTCCTCATGGGTGAGCCAGGGATGGCAGTCACCGGCCCCACAGGGTCGGCGAGTTCAGCTGTGGGTGGCAGCCCCACTCTCCGCCTACAGGATGGGGTACTGGTGTCAAAGGGCCTCGCTTGCTGAGTTCAATGGGTCCTATCTGTATTGCGCCTCGAGAATATTTTAGTAAAAAGCCACCAGATTTTTTTTCCTTCGTGCATCTTTTTGAAAATGTTGCATTGTGACAAGTGTGGGCCCTTGGAAATTGGCTCTGAGGTCAATTGTTGAGGCCACAGGCCAGTTTCAGTGTCAACACAACCGAGGTTCTTACTGGAGGAAGGTGCTGGGTCCTCTCCTCTGGCCTGATCAGTACCCCGCGGCAGGGGGGTGGGGGGGTGTGTGGGGTCGGACTGGGGAGGGGGTAGAGCAGCAGTTTCCCCTTTGGGGGGAACCCTCCTACACTGTTGGTGGGAATGCAAGCTGGTGC